CAAATTGCTGACATCTTTGCTAAAGCACTAAGTAGAGAAAACTTTGAAAGGAACAGGTTAGAATTAGGGATGATTAAAATCACCTAATTGGACCAGCTCAGAATGCATAATTAAAAAAAATTGGCTAGGAAATCTGAACTTGTGTAAATATCTAGATTAATTTTTATTCAGCCTCATACTGTAATTAGTATACTCCTGTGAAACGTGTTAATATGACTCACTGATCTCTCACAAAATTTTCTCTATTGTGGCAAATTGAGGCATGGTCAAGAGAATTCTAAATGAAGAACCTGGTTCATCAGTATGGGTTCATCTGAATGCTAAGGTATGTTTACTATGCTCTGCATAATTAGAAATATAAATATTTAAATCATGAGCAGAAGTCCTACAATTGTTCAACTCCTTAGAAAATACTATCCGTTAGTTTTGGACCAGTTTCGTCAGCCTTAGAACTCTAAACCACAAAAATTATTGCCAAAAATCTAGGGAAGCCTAACCGATCATTCAAACCTGAAATTTTAGGTTGATTAGACCTCTAATTGACCACTGCTAAAGCTGCCGTTATACATTAAATGTGTATCTCTCTTTAAATACACATCATTACCTCCTGCCATCCTCATAATCCCAAACCGTCAAAAATCCTTCTTCACTTTCACTTGCTTTCTTCTTCAACATTCTAACTCACCAATTCTCTCAAGAAACCAGCGATCATGACAAACCCACAAGATAATCCTGGAACTCCTCCACAGCCCACTCCCTCTGATTCATCTACTCCTCCTCCACCTAGCACATCTCCCAAACCCAGGCTGAGAAGGGTAAAAATGCTTGCTCGGAAAAACAGTAGCGTCTGGGGCTTTCTCAAAGAAATTAAATGAGAAATTAAAGGCAAGCCAGGTCCCAGACTCTGACTCCACCTTTGATTCTGACTCATACAAATCGGCTAGTGAGGGGGAAGGACCTGGGTCTTCTGACTCTGAGAAGACTCAAGAATCCCCTTTTAAGGTAAGTTCTTCTGTGACTGGAAATCTAGAAACTAGGTTTGTTTTGGTTGGGCCTATCAGGGATGTAGAACTACCTGAGTTACGAAGGAGTGGAGGTAAAAAGAAATTTGTAAAAGAAAAAGAGAGAGAGGTTGCATGTGGTGAAGAGAGGGGAAACGGGAAAAGAGTGGTTGATCATTCACCCACTGCCGGTGTGTCTGTGCCTTCTATCTGTGGGGTTGAACAAGAAATTGTAGAAGAGAGTGGCAAGAAATCAGGGGAAAGTGGTTCTAGTGAAGCTGTTGAAGGGTTAGTTAATCTAAGTGCACAAGGAGATGAACCTGGTTCATCAACTGAAGAGACCCTAGCAGACTTGTTGAAAAAGGTTGGGGAAAGTTATGATCCAAAGAAAAGAAGAACTCTCACACCAAAAGCCCCTAGTGCTCCTAAACCCTCTAAGAAAAGGAAGGTTTCATCCCCAACAACTACTGAAACTTCCTTGCCTAAGGGAAGAGCCACAAGAAGCAGGGTGAAACAGAGTGAGGCTGATCTACAAAAGGCCTTAGCTGAAAGTAAGAAGAAAATAATGGATAAAGGAAAAAGGAAGGTTGCAGAGTCTTCAGAGGCTATTGAAGTTGAGGAGATGGAACAGGTCCATTAAGAAAAGGTTACAACAGAGGAGGTTCAGACCCCCAAGCCCAAAAAGCCAAAGACTTCTTCCAAGAAGTCTTCTTCTATGTCTGAGTTGCTGAACCTTCATTAGCCAAGAGAACAAGGTCTGCAGTGAAAAGTGAACAAGTAAGAATTCCTGAAGATGAGGGATGGAGTGGAGAAGAAGAAGAAAATGAGTCTGATGGTGATCAAGACAAGCTTGCCATGTTTGGCAAAAGAAAAATTTTAAAAGGTAGATTGCTAAAAGACCTGGTGGAACCAGGAATGATAAGACTGGTAGATGCCTTGGCTGGTCAGGGATGGAAGGACATGGTCCTTCAGATGGATGGAAGACAAGCCAAGAATGAAATCATTGAGTTCATGGAAAATACAGAGGTTAAGGATGGCAAGGTTAGCAGCCTGGTGAAAGGAGTTCGAGTGACCTTTGATGCAGCAAAGGTGGGAGAGATCCTTGGCATACCCTCTGAAGGGTTTGATGACTATACAAGGCAAATGTGACCTTGTCTGGACTCCCTTCCTACTGCCCTTGAAATAACCAGGAGGTTCTGTGATGCTGAAGATGTAAATGAGGCCAGGGCTGTTCAGAAGAGTGAAATGAGGCCACAGCACAAAGTCATCTTTGAGTTTGTCAATAAGTGCCTAATGCCCAGGCAGGAGAGAAGGCATATTGCAAATTATATGGACTTAGTGCTGATGGAGTGCTTGGAAAGAGGAATGCAAATTAATTGGCCTGCACTCATCATCAAGCTGCTAGACAGGGTCATCAATGGCTCAAAGGCTCATGCTACCCTCTATGGCTTCATTCTGACTACGATTCTGGATAGGTGCAATGTGCCACTGAAGAAATAGGAAATGGCCTCAAGCAAGGATCACTTTGGCATTAACACTCTGATTGCTTGTGACTACTTAGTCAGTGCCATCCCAAATGAACATGGTTCATACAAGCAGACTCCTTTCAACAGTAAAGTCAGGGCTCTTGTTCAGGAATGTGAAGCCAAGGATGCTGAGATAGCTAGGCTCAAGGCTCGTGTGGCAGAGGTGTAATCTGAGAGGGATGCTCTCAGAACTGAGCTTACCAAGGAAAATGAGAAGAATGATGGGATTCTTCATAATATGCTGAATCTTCTCCAAGCCCAAAACTAACCCTCTAGCTCCCCCAAGCCTTAGGAATTCTAGCTTTTGTCTCCTGAACCTGTTTAGTATCTTCAATGACCCGGATTAGGGATTTTTCTATCTTTTTTGCTCATGTTTAAATGTTTTTGCTTTCTGGTTGTGGATTGTGGTAGCAACATATCTTCTATCAATGATATCTACTGTTTTTGCTCGTTCATTGTTAATCTTTCCTTGATAGTTTAAATATGTTTGCTTGATTACTGATGATTAATCCATGATTGCACTTGCAGTTGCCCTAGTGGCCATGAGTACTTATTAAAATATGGGACTCACACTTTGTATGCAACTTTTCGATGATGCCAAAAGGGGAAAGAGATATTGTGCTTTACACATTCTGAATAAGTGATATTTATAACTTAATTAACCTGGTCCTTGATGATAAATGAATTTTCTTAACTTTGTATTGATGGTTAAGTTGAGTTCTTACAGGATCCAAGTAAGTAAAAAGCACAGAGTTTGTCATCATCAAAAAGGGGGAATTTGTTAGCCCAAGAACAGGTGAAGTTTTGAAGATTGACAAAAGAACTCAGTCATGGACTAGGTCCATCTTGTGAAGCACAGTCATGATCAACCTATACATGTGAGATGCACGTGAAGGAGATAAATCTAACTGATCAAGAAGCAATATCTCCTGATCTGATCGAAAAGGTTGCATATTGGATAAGGAGAGAAAGACTCCTTACATGAAGAGAACACAGTTTAGGAAGAAGATAGTGTTAGAGTTTGAGATCACTATGAACTCTTCTACGATAGAAGAGTAGTAATTGAATTCCAGTCAAACTCTGATTACTAACCCATTAAATATCGGTGATGTTCTCTTTTACAGGAAATGCACATAGGCAGAAGTTAAACTTAAATTGAGAGCAAAAGAGCAAAGCGATTTTGCAAGCAATTTATGTGTGATTCGAGTGTGCAATCCTGAAGCTACTTGAACGAGATAGAAGAATGTCTATCTTTTATTCTAGTTCAATTGTAGTAGGTGATTTTACATTGTACCTTTCAGCTTTCATAGAAGCAATTGTATTAGGTACTTAGAGTTTCAAGTTAGTGTTAACTTGAAGTTGTCGCAACAGTTGAGGCTGTGTGCCACAACGGGATTAGAGTTAATCCTTAGGTTTACAAAGAGTTTTGTAAATGCTGTTTTGACTTAGTGATTTTAGTGGAAGTTCGGGAAAATCCTACTGAGTAGTAGGTCGTGGTTTTTTTCACCTTTTGAGCCAGGTGTTTTCCACGTAAAAATCTCTGTGTTCTTTATTTTCTTTATTTTCTTTATTTATTATTCTGCAAACAGTAGTAGTTGGAACACATAGAAGAACCAGGTCCTTCTATAGTTAAGTTAAATGAAAATTGGGTACCACACAAATTACTCCCCCCTCTTGTGTGGTATTGACGTCTAAAACATCAATCATGCTACAGGACGTGGAGGTTTTATTTGGGTTACTCGATGACGGTCTTACCGTCCACTACTCACCTACTATTAGGGAGTATATGAGGCATGACTATCTAGAGATGGTAGAGAGACTCACTGGATTCCTGCCTGTTGAGGAGATTGTGATTGGTGGAGTTAGTTGATTACAGCTATGGCCTGTTAGGCAGCACCTGGAGGCGCTTCACAAGCAGATCACGGAGGAGATACCAGTGGAGGGTATTGAGCAGCAGTTTAGGTTGTTGCTTTTGATGATATTTGGCGGCATTCTTTTCTTGAACACTTCAGGAAACCTTGTGAGCTTACGTTTCTTGGTTCATGTGGAGCGATTAAATGATTTACCCATGTATAGTTGGGGCGGTGCCGTTCTAGCGCACATGTATATAGTAAAAATACTCAATTTTAAGTAACGTTTGTCTCAAAGTGAGTGGCGCTCTAGTCAAATTTCTCCGACAAAATCATGATTATCGTCAAATAGGTTGCGGCTAGAACTAAACCCGCCTAGATGAACGGGTATTGAACCTCGCTCTTGCACCACTTGTTAGGATCGAAATAACCAGGTGACACGCGGAAGCTAACAAAGCAAACCTTGAATGACGATAAATCAGATAACAAAAGAAAAATATACCAAAATAGTCACAAACATATAATATGGTACAGTCAATATGACCTTCATCCACGGGCGAAAATGAGCAATCCACTATATAAAGGAGAGTACAAAATATTGAGAGAACAACCTCACAATAAGGGAAACACAAGTGGCACGTTAACACTTATCCCAAAATATTCTATGCTCATTGGTATAAGTCTTTGAAAGACTTTAGTAAATAAGAGCGGATTTTGAGAGAGTTTCCATCAAGAGAGAAGATAGAAGAAAAGGTATTCATTTTGTTGCAAATTTTTTCCCGACCAACCAGCTTCAAATCATGTTTCCTAATTTGTTCACCGTTGGATCAGACTGAAATTTTGACTGAGTAATTATAATATCTTGATCTTTGATTTGAACGGCGAGGATCAGATTTGGTATCCTGTAGCATCTGATTTCGAGCCCTGAACAACAATTTCATTTTTATGATTTTTCCTCTATCTTCAGTTGATTTGTTGTTGCTATTATTCTTCCATATTTGGCACTCCTTGTGTAGCCAATTTGGAGAACTTTGTAACTCTCTTATTGTTAGTGGAATTTTTTGGATCTTTGTTATCCCGTAATTTTTACCTTCAATTTGAAGGGTTTTCCACGTTAAAATTTGGTGTTCTTTATTTTCCCCATTTTTGAGTTTACTTCTTCCCCGACATATCAGATGGGAGGGAATAAACAAAATCTAGAAAATACAACATGATTAGTTTTATAGGAAAAACTATCTTGACTCTAGCATTCAGGACATTGATTCTTATCAAGGATTGAGTTGATATGAGTTGTTGAAACTCCTTTTTGGGTGCTTTTCGTCTGAAACTCCATTCACCTCCCGGCTTCTCTTCCTCTGATCAGAATGATCCATCATTGCTGGCAACGATGTAACTTTACCTTGTTGGTCTAAATACAACAGATGGATCCCTATATTCTTTACTATATTCTTTTCACCCAACTCAAAAACTTCCATCTTTTCTCCGCCTTTCATCTGGCCATCAAAAGGTCTGTCTAAGTAAGATACATAAGACACACGTAATAACTCAGCATGTTCAGTGGGCAATGAATCATAATAAGGCCAGCAGAAACTTGAAATTTTTCCGGCAATTCTAAAGCTTAAGAATTGCCTACGACTATAAGGGGATACGTTGACAAAATTGCAAGCACACCATAAAATCATTCCTAAAAACTTATACTCCTCGTGTATCGGCATAGTAAAGCAGATAGATGAATCTGTTACTTGATTTCTGCACCAATTTGGAATCTCATTGGTTTCGAGATAAATATCTAACCCCTGCTTCATCAGACGAAGATGCAAGATTATTAATATGAAAAGAGAGAGAGAGAGAGAGAGAGAGAGAGAGAGAGAGAGAGAGAGAGAGAGTCTAACCAGATTTCGATGATGCCTAGATTGAATTGCTAGACCAGGTGCACTAAAGAAGCCTTCGTTGAATGGATTCTGCAGAGAACTACACTTAAGCATGTTGATCCAATTTATAGAAGGAAGGTTGTCCAACCCTGTAATCTTGACCAGTTTTTTGCAATTTTCAATTGAAAAATTCTTAAGTTTTTGTAAGTTTGATAGTGATGGGAGTGTTTGGAGATTCTCACAGTCATCCAAACCTAAGAGAAACAATAACCGTAACTTAGAGAGGCCGGAGGGTAGACAGTGGAAACTATTGCCACTCAAATTTAAAATTTGTAAGGAGGATAAACTCCCAATATCCCGAGGAATATCAGCATCAGACAAACCACAATATGTAAGGCTTAACACCGTGATAGAAGTTGAAAAGGATTGTATGTGATGGACTCTGCTCCGAGAAAAACTACATTTGGGCTCTAAATTTGAACCTCCCACCTTCAGAACTTCAAGATGTCTTAGCAATTCAACAGATCCAGGCAATTGTTTTATACCCGTATCATATGCTAAAAGCTGTCTTAGACTTCGCATTTCTCCAAGATCAACTGGCAGTGTTTGTATATATGAGCAACCACTAATTTCCAAGTTTTGAAGAAATTTTAGCTGGCATATGCTGCTTGGAAGATCCTTAAGCTTTTCACAACGAAACAAATCTAGATCAATCAGTCTGTCCAAATTTCCTATTGATTCATGGATCTTTTTCAGCCTTGAGCAACCACCAAGCCGCAAAGTCTCAAGACTTTGTGGACCATTGAAGTTTGGAGTTCTTTTGAGGCGCTTGCAATTAGAGAGATCCAGCTTCTTCAAACTTTTACAACACTAAAAGTAAAACAAAATATAGTTTTAAGTAAGATTTTCTTTCACCCAATTGCAATAACAGTACACACGAAATTGTAAAATCGAGTAACAAACCTGCAAACTCAAACCAAATTCTTGGATCTTACTCTCTTGCATATCTAGAACTACAAGTTTCTGAGCTGGAAAATGTGATGGAATATATTTTAAAGGACATTTTTGCCAAGACAACCATCTGAGCTCCTTGGATAATTGCTCAAAATCTCCACTAATATGTAATTCATTGATTTTAAGTACCCTTAGATTTTTCATTTTCCTAAATGCTTTGGTGCTCAAGTTCACACCCTTAAATGCCTGTGAATTTACCATAAGTACTTCTACCTTTTTGGAACCCTGTATTTCAGTGAAAAGGAAAGTGCCCTAAATTAAGAAAGAGAAATGCATTATACATATTGAAGGTCAAACAAAGAGAACACATGTGTATCAAGAAAAATGAATTTATAAATTGAGGATGCAACAGCTACGGTGAGACTTTCAAATACTAGCTAATAGCATTCAATAAGAGATATTATCAAAACAAGAAGGAAAAAAAAAAGATGAACAAAGAGGACAAATAGCATAAAATCACTGATAGTAATACCAAGTACACACACACACACATATATATGTGTGTGTGTGTGTGTGTGTGTGTGTGTGTGCAACACTTTTCCAAAAGTTCCAATGCCCGGTTTCTTCAAGCAAGCTTAGATCCCACAATTATATAAGCATAGAAAGTCAATAAGAACATTATTAAACAATATAATATACAAAAGATAATATGATAACTAGAAAAAAATTAAAAAGACAAAGTCAGACATATTTGAATAACTAATCTTGCAAAATAATTCGTATAAGACCATAAGTATATTACTTACAGAGAATGTAATAAGAAATTTTCGTCAGCAAGCCGATTTGGATTAATTGTTAAATAGGTGAAAATTTTATTCGATAATTTTGACATGGATAGATGAGTTTAGACTTTAGTAAATGCTCATTTCTACTTTATAATGGTCGGCAAACAACTGGAAATAACTTACTATCCGCAGAAGAAGCACAAATGAATCTATATCTTGTGGTGACAAGAAAACTTATAAGCAATAAGCAATTAAATTGAAAATAAGTACAACCAAGATGAAGATAAAGAAATTTACTGACTTTATGTCCTTGTAGAACATCATGGACTTCTTGAGGATTGAACAATCTGCTCCGTTTTTCAGGGTATTGAGTTGATTCCAAGCGAACTATTTCTCTTCCCATAGCTCGCACTAGATCATGCATTTCTATAGGCCTTATACTTTGGAGCAAACATTTTCGGACCAAGGTTGCAATTGCACTTCCAGAGAAAAAACCACATGCATTTAATGTTTTGGAAACTTCATCCATAGAAAAACCATGGAAGGCACATGCAATATCAAGAAAAACACTCTGAGTATCACCATCAAGTCCATCAAAGCTTAGCTTGAGAATCTTTTGAATATCACTACGAGGAATTGCTCTTAGCTTATGGAATTCATAGCTCCCTTCTTCTACCGATCTCCCTTGAAAATGTGACCCCAATGTTACAAGAGCTAATGGTAGCCCACCTGAATATTTGATTACCGCTTTTACCAGCTCAACATATTCTTCTGGTGGATGAAGACTATCAAAAGCATGACAACTAAATAGTTGCATAGCTTCATCGTCATTTAATAGTTTGGTCTTGTATCTCTCATTTTCTCTAAGCCCAAATAGCAAATGCTCGTCTCGGGTTGTAACAATTATTAAACTACCCGAGCCAAACCAACTTCTTTCTCTTGTTAAGGATTCTAATTGTCTTATATGGTCCACGTCATCAAGAACAATTAGAACCTTCTTTGACCCAAGTCTTGCTTTTATTAGGTTGACGCCTTCAGCAACACTGCCAACTTCAATGTCCTTAGTTTTGAGAATTTGTTGAAGAAGCTTCTGTTGTAGCTTGACTAGACCAAATTCTTCAGCTTCTGATCTAACACCTGAAAGGAAGCAACTGCCATTGAAGGGTCGAAATATTCGATTGTAGATAGCTTTTGCCAGAGTTGTTTTACCAATTCCACCAACACCATATATACCAACCATGCGAACTTTATCTTCACTTGCACATTGCAATAATAACTCTATATCCTTGACACGAGAATCTACTCCAGTTGGGTACCAAGCAACATCTAAAGGTGTCTGGTTGACCACTTGTAGGACTTGTTGCACAATACATTCAATAAACTTTGATTCATGCCTGTATATATTTTACGAAAACAAAAGTTAAAAGAAAAAACAAGTACATAAAATTTTGATATTTGACAAGATTTGATGGACAAATCAAAATCAATAGCCAACGAATAATAGGGTAGGATGAAGCTAAGCAGTATAATTTGAAGGAAATCAAATTTGAGGGAGTAAAATAGATGACTTCTTCATACAGGACAGTTTAAGAATGAATTTAAGTTATACATACGGACACTGACATGTATAAGTGAATTTTAGCTCGTAATAGCAGGTTAATTATCATTGAACTAGATTATCAATTAAGTATTACTTATCAAAAAATTTATCTATAATTAACTATTAAGTACTATAAGATTGTGTAAATATTCTTGTTTATACACAAGGGTAAATAACGAATAAAATTAAGATGTACCCGTCAACAACATTTCGCAAATCCCATCCAGATAAATTTGCAGCTTCAGTAAGTGCAGTTGTCCATTTCTCTACCCTTTGAGCCCCAAATGATCGTTCCTTGTGTTTAGCAAAACCTTCACCAAATAACCCAGTTTGCCTTCGCACTCCAGAAGGATCAACATCATAGAAAATAGGCAAAATCATCTGCTTTAGTTTCTCTTTGCATTCGAGAATTTTAACTAGTTCTTCTAGACACCAACTAGAGGATGCATAATTTCTTGAGAAAACAATAATGGAAATTCTTGACTCTTCAATTGCTTTCTCTAGTTCTGTTGATATAACGTGACCTTTTCTCAATTCTTCATCATCAATGAACGTATTAATTCCAACATCACACAATTTGGAATAAAGATGACCGGTGAATGTTTTTCGGGTGTCTTCCCCTCTAAAACTCAGGAATACATCATAAGAGAAGTGGGAAGATGTAGATAGATGATTCTCCTTTGATAATTAGAGTATCCATTTGATGATATGCAAGAATAAAGGGATGAATATTTAGTGAATTTGTTAAAGGAAAGAGAGCTGAGATGTTGATGAGTATTCTCCTTAATATATATACGCACAGCTTATTGTTTCTAACACCTGCCCCTGCAGGGAAGGGTTAACTGAAATAAAAGGGAACTTACCAAGACATTTCTTAGGCCAAAGCTACATCTTTGCACGTCTGTTGTAGGGCCGCTTATCGGGCGGATTGGGCGGTTATTTACTCTTAACGGTTTGGCTTATCGGTTTTCAGCTTTTAAATGTATTAATCTGCTAGCCACCGGATAAGATATTGGGCGGATTGGTATCGGTTTAGCTCTTATCGGGCGGTTTATCGGCCTAATTCAATCAAAACAAAATAAAATTTAGTCTCTGTATGTTTAAATGGGTGTTCGACGTACTAAGAGGGACGAAGCATAAGAGACACCATGATGGGTAAATCATCTGTCTAGAATCTTATTTATATTTATGCACATTGGCCTTAGTCCATGTGAAAGATTTCCAATTGGCGTCATGCTTAGAATTCTAGGATGCCTTAAAACCCAGGCAAAGTTGATGAAGCAGTGGTGTAACTGGTGTTGTTATCTTGTTTCAGACAGCAAATTCTGTCTTTTGTCACAGTTAGATGACTCCTTTTATTTGGCTTTCTTTTATTCTAATTCACTTTGATAGAGCATTGGAGGAAGAAGGGTTTTTGATTATTTAATATATATATGGATAAAAATAAATTTTATATGTATATATATAT